ATAATAAAGAAAAAACCGAATGAAATCACTCAATGAAAACCATTGTGGATAATTTTCATTTGATTTTCCATTTCGTTTCATTCGATCATCGATCCGATCGATCCGATCAATCGATCGATCTATCGATTATTTAATTAATTGTACGAAATTCTAATGCGGAAAACCTCTTAATCGTCACGTTTTTCATTTTCAACTGTCAAAAAAAGAAAAGAAAACTCATTGCGTCACGTTCGAAAAGTATTTGACTTATTTGTCGATATTTTCCTCTTTGACTTATCATTTATTTGATTCTCGTTAAAAATTTCTCCGGAAAACGAAAGAAGTTAAACTTAAACTCCCCCCGAGGGTGAAAATTTTTATAATTAAATAAATTAATATGAAAGAAACAAAAACGCCGGAAGGAAAAACAAACGTGAAATTTTTCAGCGTGTAAAAACCAAGAAAAACGTCACTTTTTTTTCTTACGTAAAGTTTTTATTCATAATGATTTCAAAATTTGTTTAAATGTCCCTACCCCCTCCCCCTCGCAATTAGAACTCGTAATAATACCCATCGTTATTATTATCATCATCATCTTAAATTAATCATTTTGAGGAATTGATTCAAATTGAAGGAAGGAAGACATTTTGATTTTTTTAAACTGATATAAGATTATCAATAATATAAAACGTAAATTACACGTTTAAATTTACGTGTAAGGTAAAGTAGGGCGGTATGCCAGTTGCCTGTACAAATACAAACACGAGCCTTTTTTTTTTTTTTTTAAGTAAATGAAATTACAGCTGACTTAATAATATTTACCACCATTACATTCGAAGACCTCATTTGGCAAAATCTCACAGATCGTTTCGCATTGTATAATAATGATAATAATATTTTTCGTTTAAATGATTAGCGAGAATGATGATTAAGATGATGATCGTGGTACTAGTAGTAGTAGTAGTAGTGATGCACTAAGAGTAATCGTCACAAACGTGAAAGTTTAAGAAATTTTCTATACTTAATGATGGTGAATAATCTTTTCGAAGAAAATGAATAATGATGATAAAAAGAAAAATAAAATAAATTCATCGAAATAAAAGAGAATAAAAATTCGAGAAAAATATATATTTTCTTATTATTTCCTCCCTCTCCCCCCTACCCCCGAGGAAACGATTTAATATTTAGCAAAATATTAACCAATGTTCAAGGTCTCTTTTTTTTTACAACAAAAAAATCACTTTCGTTTTTTTTTTTTTTT